CTATGGCAAAAACCTAAAGAAAAAACAAAAAAAACCTAAATGTAAAACTGTCCTCTACCTTCTCTTGATTCTAAGGAGACTGCCCTGAGTCTTTTGTTTTGTTCTGATGCTAAATTTGACTCATGGATAAGTGCTTGTTTCTGTTCGCGTAAGGACTTTTCAGGGATGGGATTTCTTCTGCCAAGTGTCTTTAGGCACCTCTTAAACCTACCCCTCAGCACTGCTGTTTCCCTGATCTGTCCAGGGTGTCTTTCATGAATAGATTTACTGGGAAGATGCAAACTGAACGTCAAGTGAGGGTTTTCTTGTAGCGCAAGATTTGGGAGGGAGACAATATGACGGCAAGGCCATACGTAGGTTCTAGAGAGAGCAGCCGTCCAGTGGGCACTGTGTGGGAGCTGGAAACCCTCCTCTTACCAAGCAGGTTGGGAAGTGTTGCCTACCCACCTGTAGCCTACCACGTGAAGACAGGGGAGGGGCCTGTGCTTGCCAGAGAGACAGAAATGAGAATCAGGGGATGGCTATACCACAATCCCTTCTCCTCCATTCTCCCTTTGGGCTTTTGGGCATGCACGCACACCCTCCTGGTGTGAATTTTAAGCCTCTGGGTTCAGGACTCGAACCGTGGTAGCCCACCTGGGAGTCCAGCAATGTAACCATTATGCCATCTGCTGACCCCATGCCCCATTGTGTTTTAAACCACAGTTCTGTACTCATCTGACGAAAGGCAAGCCAGCCTGGATCCTCCAGAGTGCAGTCCCGTGGCCCCCTGAGCATCTTATCTCAGTTCCTCCTCATTCTGTGTGTGTGTTCGGGGTGAGCATTAAGGGAGGAAGCATAGAGACGGTGTTCACCACGTGGTCGGGGCGTCCTCTGGGAACAGAGTGTGCGGCCAGTAGTCTCTGTTACTAGTCAGGGCAGGCTGTCTTGAAATCACATCAGTTTTTCCTCCAGTTCTTTTTCAGCCTGTAGCCACTGAGCAAGGCAGGACTGGGCTATTTCAGTTCCGGCCAATGGACACATCCAAATCGCTTCCCTCTTCCCAACTCCCTTTCCCTTGAGGACCTAATTTATTTCACACATCTTGACTGATCCCTGCTCAGGAACAACGGAGCGCTGTGGTTCTCTGTGGAGGCATTTCCCTCCTCACCTTGGGCAGCCCCAGGAACCCCACCAGGCGCAGCTTCTCTGCACCTTGACGTCAGCCTGGCTGCTGGACCCGGCTGGCTGGAGGTGTGTTTTATGAAGTTCATCCTGCACCCCAGGCCATAAATACATGCCGTGCACATAAATGTACAGCTAACATTGCCCAGGCCCCTCCGAAGCACTACGTTAATAAGCAGACAGTAAGTCTTTAAAATATGGAAAAGCAGTTAATCTTTCCGCTGACAAATCCTTTGTAGGAGGTGGTTTTTCTCTGCCCCGGTGTAGCTGCGAGCAAGCAGAGCTTTTCATCTCCTAGGATTTGAGAAAGAAAGAGGAGAAGTTTGCTGTGGGACGTCATGGTATATGCGTTAAAAACAGTATCTTCTTGCATTGGTTCTCACTGAGCTGTACTGAGTGATCCGCCGCAAGGGGCTCGAGTGCTAATAACTGCATACAAGCAAGCCTGCTGTCACATGGGGCCGTGGAGCTGCATGGGCCTGGGCTTTGGAGGTTGCTGCTCTGGGTCTGAACTTCAGCTCTGGGAGGTACCTTGGTTCCTGTTTCCCAGCTATACAATGGGTATAGTTTGTCTTATATAGTCACGATGAAGAGTTTACTTATCCTGAGTTCCAGTTTCCTCTTTTGTAACAAGAGACAATTCATACTCCTTGCTCCTATCAAATGCTGTTTAAAGAGAACATGACGGGCTAGCAGGGTCACCTGCTAGTGGTTAAGGCGCTGGACTCCCACACGGCTGACTGCAGTTTGAGTCCCAGACCCAGTAGCCTGAAAGTCAACCTCAGAGCGTGTGCCAAAGATTCATGTGTTTCAATAAATTTTCTGATTTGGTTCTTAATTTCTTCAGTAGTTTTGAAGTCATTCAGAGGTAGGTTGTTAAGTGTCCATATATATTTTTTTCTAATGTATTTTTAAGGGCTTTTTCTGTCGTTGATTTCATGTTTAATTCTCTTGCGGTTGGAGAAGATGCTGGACATAGCTCCTGTCCATTTGTGACAGTGGAGAGTTGACATCTCCAAAAATTAATGCATTGCAGTCAGTCTCTCCTAACAGTCTTTCTTTTATGTGTTTGGATGCTCTGGTCTTAGATGCATAAATATTTATAATTATAATACCATCTTAGTGAACTACTTTTTTTTAAGGCTATATAGTGCCCTTTGTCTCTTCTTACCATTTTCGTCTTGAAGTCTATTTTTTCTGATATCGGTATCATGACTCAAGGCATTTCTGGGTTTCTGTTTTGCAGTACATGACTTTTTTCGTCCCTTCACTTTCAGTCTGTGTATGTCCTAATCGAGGAAGTGTGTTTCTTGTAAGCAACATACAGAGTTCCTATTTTTTAATCCATTCAGCCAATCTGTATCTTTTAGTTGGAATTTAATCCACATTACTATGGATATGTTTGGATTTCTCCCTGATATTAGTTGTTTTGTGGTCCTTGATTTCTATTTTAGTTTTCATGATGTAGTATTCCCTTGAGTATTTCTTGGAGCGCTGTTCTAGTGTTGAAGTCTTTCAGGTTTTTGTTTTGTTTTGTTTTGTTTAGTCAGGGAATGATTTTACTTCCCCTTTACAATTGAAGAAGAATCTTGGTAGGTGAAGTATTCTTGGCTGGATTTTTTTTTTTTCTTTTAATATGTCTTCCCATTCTTTCCTAGCCTACATTGTTTCAGTTGAGATGTCTGGTGTTAAGTCTAATGGGGTAACTTTTGTAACTAACTGGTGTTTCTCTCTTGCTATTTTTAGAATATTGTCTTGGATTTTTACCAATTTGGCTGTGATGTGCCTTGGAGAGGCCCATTTCAAGTTATGTTGAAAGTTTCTATGCCTTTAACTGACTGTTTGCCTTCTGGGATACCCATTATGTGGCTATTAGGTTGCTCAATGGTTATTTTTTCATACTTTTTGATGGCTTAACCTAAATTGGGTGTTTTGTCTTCAAGGTTAGAGATTCCCTTTTTTCTGCATGGTATAATCTGCTGTTAACACTTTCAAGGAAAATTTATGATTTCCTGTATTGTGTTCGCTTCCAGGAGTTCTGTTTGTTTCTTGTTTAAGGTGTCACTATGGAATTCCTCCTTCAAGTCCTGGAATGATTTTTTCCTTGAATCTCATTGAGTTTTGTTACAATGAATATTAAGAATATCGTTTCTGACATTTCTGTGATTTCTCAGGTCCTTCCCATTGTTGATGGGGAGTTACTGTTTTCCTTTGAGGGAGAGATACCGAGTTTTCTAATATTTGGGGGGTGGGGGGACTCTGCTTTGATTTTTAGGTATGTGGTGAAGTGTTCACACCTTTTACATTTCTTGGATAGGTTGCCGCAGCTGTATACTCATGCACTTCCTTATGGTGTGTGTTAGCTCCATGTCAGTTTTCCTAGCCTATGAGTGTTTCAGAATTTCAGAGGGGTGTTTTTCTTATCTTAACTAGATGAAGTGTTGGGGGAGAATTCTTCCAGAGCCCCAGAATCTTTAAGTGGCTTGTTCTTTTCCCAAACTCTCCAGCCAAAATAGGGCTGTGGGCTGAGCTTGGGAGGTGGAACATGAGGAAGTAGCACAGTCATGGGCCACACCTCCCTTGGCACATGGGCTGGACTGCAGGTGGCCTCCTACTTTGTTCTGGCTGGTGAGGTGATGGTGAGGGAGCAAAGGACATGCAGGCCACATGCAAAGTCCCACCCATCCTCTCTCCAAGGAGACTGGTGTGGTATGGGACACTGCCTGAAGCACAGGCCAGGATGCAGATGGCCATTTACTTTATTAGGGCAGACAGTGAGGTATCAAACTGCTTTCAGTCTGAATGCAAAAATCCCTTCCTTTCTAGCTCCAGTGAAGACTGGTATGGTGCAGGGTGGGGTACTGGGGGAAGCATAGGCCAGGCTGCAGACAGAGGGTGAGCCAGTGAAGGCACGCAGGCCAAGTGTAAAGCCCCTCGAGGAGATTGGGGTGGTGTGGGGTGTAGTGCCAAGTGAAGCACAGGCTGGACTGCAGGTAGCCTCCTACCATCCTCCGGTTGGTCAGGCAGGGTGTGAAGTAACGGCATACCAGCCAGATGGAAAGTTCCTTCCTTCCTCCTTCCTCTCTGATGAGTAATCTCTCTTATTAAATCTCTCTTATTTATATGGTGGCATTACTTTTTCACTTCTATTTATTGGTTAATATTAGGAGGAGTCATTTTCAAATTTACTTCAAATAGACTAGCTATAATGAAGGATCCAGAAGGTCAGAACCTTTCTCTAATTTTGCCAGATTAAGTGTGTTCTCCGAGAGGGAGGGCCAAGCAACTCCCAATGGGCCTTGGTCACATAGATTCCTTCTCCTCCATTTCTCCATCCTGTCAGGATTTGGGTCATAACCAAAGTTTTCCAAGGCTCAGGAGCTGAGATTCGAACTGCATGGCCAGCCATGCATCAGAGCGCTATCTAGGGCCTTAGATCTTATAGAATGGACCCTGTGAATCAGGAAACCCCTTCATAGAGGATTGGCAATGCTTCTCTTCTTACACCTCGGACACTGAGGTGACTTAGCTGTCTCTGCTCTTCTGTGCACGTGAACTTCAGTCTTCCCAAGGGGAGCTGTGCATGGCCACAGCTGTTGTGAAGAGCCTCATCAAAGGAGGCAACTGCAGTAGTAAAGCATCTCTGAAACCTGTTGTACAAAACATTGGGTCGTCAAAACATCATGACGCATTTTTCTGTTTCTATGCAAAAACCCGTCATGACTTTTCCACAACTCAGTATTACAGCTGTAACCCCCCAGGGAAAAGCTTTCCTCATAGCTCTTTGAGAGACGGTAAATGACCACCCACTGTCTTGCTGCCTCTTGTTTCCACAGGTCCTTTGTCATCCAGCAGATCCCAAGCAGCAACCTGTTCATGGTGGTGGTGGACAGCAGCTGCCTCTGTGAGTCCGTGGCCCCCATCACCATGGCACCCATTGAAATCAGGTATATCCTTTTGTGCAGAGGGCCAGTCAGTTTTTTCCGGTAAGGGGGATCAACAGTAAGGAAACATAGGGGGGCAATCACAGGGGAAAAGTATATCCTCACCACTCTCGGAGATTGTTAAGGAAGTTCAGTGCCAAAATTTGACCTCTAAAATGTAGAGCGAGAAAATTAATCCTTGGAAATGTGCCTTAACTACTGTCAACATAATGAATCCCTTAAGTGCGAACGTTTAAAGGCCCAGAAGATCAGAAGGCGTCCGGAGTCTTGTCATGGCTTCCATCCTGAGGTGAGTCTGAGAACTGTTCCTGCTCTCTTTTCTACCAAGTGTACAGAGAGAATATCATGATGGTCAAACAACTCCAAGGTGTACTTGTGAGAAAATACTTTTTAGGAAATGAAAGAATAAAAGAAGCTACAGGGGGCCAGGAGGTGGCATAGTGCTTATGGTGCTGAACTCCCACGTGGTCAGTTGCAGTTCAAATCCCAGACCTGGCGGTTTAAAACTCATGTTGGGAGCATGTGCATGCATGCCTAAAATTCTGAGAGGAGAATGGAGAAGGGATTGCCATGTACTCCCACTCCCACCCCCCCAGAGAAGGTGATTTCTTGCTTTCTGTCAGTCTCTTGGGTGAGTGCACACCCCCTATAGAAAAAAAAAAAAAAACAAGCAAAGAAAAAGCTTAAAAAAAAAGATACAAAAAGACTAAAGTTCTCTACTTTTAGTCCTTAATGTCTTTTTTTGGGGGGAGGAGGGAGGTTTTTGCTATACGGTGCATGCACTCGCCAGAAAGACAGAGACAGAGAGACAGAAAGCAAGAAATCACCCCCAGGGGGAATGGCCAAGCCACAATCCCTTCTCCTCCTTTCTCCTCCCGAGATCTTGGGTATGCACGCACATGCCCTGTGTGAGTTTAAGCCACCAGGTCCGGGACTTGAACTGCGGTCGACTACATGGGAGTCCAGCAACATAGCCATTATGCTAACTGCTGGTCCCAGTCCCTAATGTCTTATTTACTCTATGCTT